CTCACACACACACACACACATATACACACACACACACACACAACCACACAGACTCCCCTTCTCTCTCTCCCTCTCTCTCTGTCTCTCCGTCTCTCTCACTCTCTTTCTCACTCTCTCTTCATTCTTACCCTCCAGTCCTGCATGCCCGCCAAGTCGTAGTATTCCTCTTTAGTAATCATGAAAGCAGCCAGATTAGCGGTGTAAGACGCCGAAAAAACTAGGGCAAACAGTGCCCAGATACTGGACATAAACTTGCTGGACACTCCTCGGGGAGTGTCGGTTGTGACCGCTGCGCCAAACAGCATCGCCCACATAAGCCAGAACGTGCGAAATAGAGAGAATCGGTGGTCTGGGGAAGGGTGAATGTATAAAATATGAGGTATTGTGGGGAAAGCAGGCGCTCGTCAAAATGAAATCGAAGACACTGGCATTTTAAAGCCAGTTAGGCGATTTTTATCATTTCTTTGATTTTGTTTTGGCCGCAACTCCATTTACATTCATTTTAAAAATATATTTCAGTGTGAATCTTTTGAAAACCGTTGATCAAAAGCACAAATATGTAAATTTGCAGCTTTCAAGGACCCTCATGCTTTCAATGTCACCAAACCTTGGTGGCTATTTTCTCCCTCATTTTATTTCTTACACCACCCTCTTCAATCGCTAACATCTCGACATTATTTCAAGATAGATGGGTATTTTTTTCATCAAGACCAAGGCAAACGAACAAGCTTTAGGATTATACCTATAACCCCTTATGCCTCCAAAACTGACTAGCGTCTGATTCCACCGTGTGGTGCGTGACACAACTAAATGGATTCTGTATTCATAGCTTTTGTCTAAACGTTATTTATTGCATTAATTCTCTGGCAGTCGTACACGAGAAAGCTTGTATATCTGTTCAATAGCACACTATTATACTGGTTCTCTTGAATTTGTATGGTTTTGAATGTAAACTTGCTGCTTGCAGTTTTTTTCAAACAGTATGCCCATTAAAAGTTTTATAATATGTATAGTGGAGATTATATGTTTTGTTCTTTTGTAAGTGTGCTTTCACTTGGTGTGTATTTACATCATTCGGTTCATATAATAACAGTGGTTTTGCCAGTATGCACTCTTGTGAAAGTAATGGAAAAGCACTCCCACATTTACATGTATGGTAAACAGATGAAGAGACGCTAGCAGCTAAATTAGTGAAAGCAAAACAAAACAAAACCAAAAACTAACGACAAAACCATAAATAAGTGACATAATTTATTCGACTTAATCAATATATTTCATAAATATCTAGATCCTAAGGGGCTCCCGAGACTCGTGTCCATCCACATTAAAGCCGGCTTTAAAAGAAGCGATGACAAAAATACAAGTGAAATAGGGAAAAGGCCAAAAACAAACATGAAAAGGCATGCACTTTTTTAAAGAAGGTTTTAATGCTAAAGTGTGTTACTTGAGACCTTTATTTTTCGGTAATGGCGGAAATGCATACTGAATCATCTTATGTGTTCCCTCTTCAATCGCCTTTCTTTAAAAACAAATGGTCGTTGAAACTGTACAATACAGCATCACCCACGCGCGCGTACACACACACACA